TTTATTAAATTAGTACATGTTGAAAGAAGTCACAATAGTTAACACACTTAAGTGTGTTCTGTACACCACCAACCCAAATGGATTGATTTCAGAATTTGATTAAATAAAGCATACGGCAATGAGGCTCAGACAGAATTTGACCAGTTTATATGCAAGGAACAGAAAATCAAAAAGGATAAATATAACATAAAAAAAAAAAAAAAAAAAAAGGATTTGAATTTCTGAAGTTTCGGCCAAAACTGACATCTATTATCTATTCTGATTCCTATTCCAATCGGTCCTTCATTAAAAGTTGCCTGTTTTTGCCAGTATGCTCCTACTGTTAAAATTTTGACCAGAATATAATGTAGTAAATTTACCCTCTGAGAAGGAAAATTCATGTTCATTTCTCTTTCAAAGGAGAATTTTTCTGTCTTTGGATTCTGGCTTTTTCTGTCTCTGGGTTCAAGTGTGTCTTTGGTTCTATAGGAAGCTCTTCGTGTGGTGAAGATCTTGCAGAACCTTGATCCACCATTTAGTATTGATGGGAAGATGGTGGCTGTAAACCTGGCCACTGGAAAACGAAGGTAAGGCAAAAGGGTGAGGATCTCTTGTGCTGCCCCCACTTGTGTTTTTGGGAGGAAACTTCTTTTCCTGGCTGGAAAGATAGTAAGGCATGATGTTTTCCTAACATAGACTGCTTCAGTTATGTGTTTATTAGTTTCTTTTTCTGAAGCCTAACTTGTTCTGACGCTTAAATTGTCTTCTTTCTTGAATAATACCAGGTACATTTGTCCTTTCCCTTTTGCCTGTCTGGTATCTTTGGATCCCAAGTGGCCTGGTGCAATAGCACATACTTGTATTCCCAGCTACTAAGGAGGCTGAGGCAGGGGATTTACATGAGCCCAGGAGTTCCAGGCCATAGTGTGCAGTGATGATGCCTGTGAATAACCACTGTACTCCAACCTGGACAACACAGCAAGACCCCATCTCTTAATAAAAAAAAAATGGTGGTGCAGTTTTGGATGTGCAGACAGATCTCAATACATTCTTGCCCCTTGCAATCCTAGTAAAATGCTGTCCTGACTTTTCCTTCCCCTGACCTTGTTCATATTGCCATAGCCCTGAGAAATCTAATTCTTCTTTACTCCTTCACTCATCTTGACCCAGGAGTGGTAACTTGGAAATGGTCATATCAGAGAAACAGGCTTACCAATATGGGCCATATCTTGCTCTAGCACACTCCACTTAATGGCTCTTTTGCTCCAGTACTTGGCTTTTTGTGAGTCTTGCTGCTCCTTCCTTCAGGAGTATCTGGACCCCGCCCAACCTTCTTGTTGTCTAGGTTGGTTCCTTTCCTGCAAAATGGGGAATAGAGAATTTCTCAGTAGGAACTGTAGGATTAGGTACTTGTCAAGTGCCTTTTGGTAGCAGGCTTAAGAATTGTGTTATCTGTTACAGAAATGATTCTGGGGACCATTCTGACCACATGCATTACTATCAGGTAGGCTGTAACAGGTGGGGAATCCTGTATTAAAATCCTCAGGTGACTGAAAGGGTGATCTTGATTTTCTTCAGTGGGTGACTTGTTAAGGTGAATGGCTCTTGGATAGTTTTGTAATTTTAACTTGCCTTTCTATGATAGGGTAAAAAATATTTCCGAGATAGGAGGGGAGGTGGCAGAAATTCAGACTGGTCTTCAAATACAAATCGACAAGGACAACAGTGTAAGTAACCTTTGTTTTATTTCTGTTGCTCTCTTTTGCTTGACTTGCTACTCATTACTTGACATCTGTGATCACAGTTGGCAAGATCTGCTGTTGACTGAGGGTGCTCATCCAGAGAGAGAGACATCTATAGATGCACCTATTTGTGTTGGCCACCCTAATTCTTGGGTTGTTCTTGATGAGTCTCCAGTAAGGGCTTCATCAGACAGAGACTAACATTGGCTCTGATCTTGTTACGTTTAGCATCATCTGACTGCTACATATATGATTCCGCTACTGGCTACTATTATGACCCCTTGGCAGGAACTTATTATGACCCCAATACCCAGGTGAGTTTTGGGCTTTTTTTTTTTAAACTCTGTCAATGATCCTTTTGAGAAAAGCTTCCATAATTTGCTACTTTGAGGATTTTATTTCCTGGATTATCTGGATGCTCATTGCATGAAAAGTGGAAAGTTTAGATCTATGGAAACAGAACTTGATTGCATATATGGAAAATCAGTGCCTTGTGGCAATACAGGTAAGAACAGTGTTGCTCTTGAAAAAGTGGACAATGGGTGGTCTGAATGTTTCCTGGTCCCTCGAGTGGGTTTTTAGATTGATGTGGACTCACCTCATCCTTGTAAGTAAAAGAGCTGTTTCTTCCCCTAGAAGGGAACTATGCTTCTTAGACCTGAAATTGGTGGGAAACCGAAACATTCTGTAGACTTATTTGTTTCCAACTGTATCGCAGCAAGAAGTCTATGTGCCCCAGGATCCTGGATTACCTGAGGAAGAAGAGATCAAGGAAAAAAAACCCACCAGTCAAGGAGAGTCAAGTCGTAGGAGTGACATGTGTAAGAGGACTTGTTAATCTGTTGTCTTTTGCCACATAATTACAGATTAAAACGTAGGAGGTATAAACATAGGATATCTAGATTTGCAATATGCAGTTACTTTAAAAATACTCTGTCAATAAGTATTTTTACCTAGTTTTGGCAGGTAAAAATTACCTGGTGTAGTCAATTCACTCACTTCTTATAGCCCATAGCAACTCTCTCTTTGTTTTTTTGGTTTGTTTGTTTGTTTGTTTGTTTTAACACTCTCTTTTACAAATGGGAAGAAACTATGGATGGTAGAACAAAGTGACCCAGCTCAAATCCTAACACCTCAGCTCCACACATTTTCACTTTTCTGCATTCCCTTTTTAGTGTTTGACTCTATACACATTTCACTAGTTGTAATTATAGCAGGAGGTACTGTTTATCGTAAGTATAAACTTTTTGTCGTAAGTATTTTTTCCATGGTTCTATAATACTCTATTGTTTTTAATGCCTACATGGTAAAAATTCATAGTATAACTATACCTTCATTGTCTTCATCTCTCCTGCATTATTTGTCTTCTCTTTCTAATGTTTTCTTTTTCTTTCTTTTCTTTTCGAGACAAGATCTTCCTCTGTCTCCCAGGTTAGAGTGCAGTGGCATGATCATAGCATGCTATAACCTCAAACTCCTGTGCTTAAGCAATCCGCCCACCTCAGCCTCCCAAGTAATGGGGACTACAGGCATGAGCCACCATGACCAGCTAATTTTTGCTTTTTTGTAGAGACAGGATCTCACTAGATTAGCCAGGCTGGTCTCAAACTTCTGGCCTTAAGTAATCCTCCTGCCTCATTCTCTCAAAGTGCTTCACTTACAGGCATGACCCACCTTGCTCACCTCTTTCTAATCTTACACTGTCATAATATGTAGCATTTAGCATTTTATTTTCTTCTTTTAAATTGCTTCCTTATGGCACATTTTCAGAATCAGAGATAATAAACATTTTTACATCTAATATAAAGTCAAATTATTAGGCAGGGTTCATGCCTATAATCTGAGCACTTTGGGAGGCCAAGACAGGCCAAAAATACAAAAAAAATTAGCTGGCTGTGATGGCACATGCCTGTAGTCCAGGCTACTTGGGAGACTGAGGCAAGTGGATTACTTGAGAGCCCAGGAGATTGCAGTGAGCTGTGAGTGCACCACTATACTCGAGCATGGACAATGGAACCAGACCTTGTCTCAAAAAAAAAAAAAAAAAAAATCTGCCAGCGTGGCTCATGCCTATAATTCCAGCACTTTGAGAGGCCAAAGCAGGTGGATCACTTTAGGTCAGGAGTTCAAGACCAGCCTGGCCAAAATGATGAAACTCTGTCTATACTAAAAATACAAAAATTAGCCACGCATGGTGGCACACACCTATGGTCCCAGCTACTTGGGAGGCTGAGGCAGGAGAATCACTTGAACCTGAGAGGTGGAGGTTGCAGTAAGCTTGATATTAGTTTATGCATTAGTGAAAATGGATGAATTTGTTTATGGTTCAATTTATAACATTTTTTTTCCAACACTGTTAGTTGTTTAGAGATACAGAAAAGAGAAGAGAGAGTGTGTTTTTAAAGAACTTAGAGTCATACTTGTTTAATATTTGGACTCTGCTTCACCCACTTAATCTAATTGTAGTCCCAATCATTTGTAAAATTAAGATAGGGAGGCTAGGCATGGGGTGGATCATGAGGTCGAGAGATTGAGACCATCCTGGCCAACATGGTGAAATCCTGTCTCTGCTAAAAATACAAAACTTAGCTGGATGTGGTGGCACTCACCTGTAGTCCCAGCTACTCGGGAGGCTAAGGCAGGAGAATTGCTTGAACCCACGAGACGGAGTTTGTAGTGAGCTCAGATCTCGCCATTGCATTCCAGCCTGGCGACAGAGTGAGACACCATCTCAAAAAAAAAAAAAGCCTATGTAGGAGGATCATAATAAAGTCTGAAGAAGACAATGTGATATATACATGCCTCCTCTGGTCTGACATACTGTAATCATGCAATACATACTAATATTATATATTACATTTTATTTTTTGAGATAGAGTCTTGCTCTGTTGCCCAGGCTGGAGTGCAGTGGTACGATCTTGGCTCACTGCAGCCTCCACCTCCCAGGTTCCAGCATTTCTCCTGCCTCAGCCCCCCCAAGTAGCTGGGATTACAGGCCCACACCACCATACCCAGCTAATTTTTTTAGTAGAAACTCGATTTCACCATGTTGGCCAGGCTGGCCTTGAACTCCTGACTTCAAGTGATCTGCCCACCTCAGCCTCCCAAAGTGCTGGGATTATAGACATGAGCCACTGCGCCTACTGATGTTATATATTTTAAAGGTTCTTTATTTCAAATTCACTATAGCAGTGTTACAGATATTTCTGTAATGTTGAATTAGGAGGTTTTGAAAATTAACCTAATTTCAACAGGGTTAGCTCTTAATCAGGTTTTTTTTTGTTGTTTTTTTGAGACAAAATCTCACTCTGTTGCCCAAGCTGGAGTGCAGTGGCGCCATTGTGGCCTACTGTGACCTCTGCCTCCCGGGTTCAAGCAATTTTCCTGCCCTAGCCTCCTGAGTAGCTGGGATTGCAAGCACCCGCCACCACGCCCAGCTAATTTTTGTATTTTTATTAGAGATGGGGTTTACCATGTTGCCCAATCTGGTCTCAAACTCTTGACTTCGGGTGATCCGCCCACCTCAGCCTCCCAAAGTGCTGAGATTATAGGCATAAGCCACTGCACCTGGCCTTAAGCAATTTTTTGTTTTGTAACAACAAAACATTGTTTTGTTTCCAAGATGGAGTTTCGCTCTTGTTGCCCAGGCTAGAGTGCAATGGTACGATATTGGCTTACTGCAACCTCTGCCTCTCGGGTTCAGGTGATTCTCCTGCCTCAGCCTCCTGGGTAGCTGGGATTACAGGCCTGTGCCACCATGCCCAGCTAATTTTTATATTTTTAATAGAGACAGGGTTTCGCCATGTTGGCCAGGCTGGTCTCCAACTCCTGACCTCAGGTGATCTGCCCGTCTCGAGCCTTCCAAAGTGCTGGGATTACAGGTTCTAGCCACCACACCCAGGCTTAATCAGTTTTTATGAGTGAATATCATATGAGAGTTACCTCTGGTTTGATCAGTTTCAGGAAAATGCCAGTGAAGGGAAGGCTCCTCCTGAAGACGTCTTTAAGAAGCCCTTGCCTCCTACTGTGAAGAAGGAAGAGAGTCCCCCTCCAGTAAGGCCAACTTTGATCCCCTGGGCTTAGGGCTGGGGGTGGGTTTGGTTCTGAGTGAGAAAGAAAGCTCAACAGCTGATGTTGTCCTCTGGGATTGGTCTTTTACCTCACTGTGTCTCCTGAATAAGGATTTCCGTTTATTTTGAGTACAAGCATGAGTTAAAGTTTCTTGTCTGCTAATGGGGACGTTACTCGACAACCAGAGGCAGTTATCTGCCCTCTTTCTCTCTATCCTATGCCATTCTTAACAGACGAGATGCCTAGTCCTTTTTATCATCTTGTTCTTGTCATTTCTCTAAATCACCAAGGAAACCCATTTTACCAGCCTCAATGTTTCCTGCCTTTTGGTGTCACACAAGATATGGAGTACCTGTGTGCTCATTTTTTATAGTTTCTGCCTGGACAGAGTGAACAATGCTAATATTGGTGCCCATTTTTTAGAAGTCTTCAAGCGCTAGTCTCAATCTAATCACCAGTGATTCTGATTGAATGCAATTATATAACAATAGTGACCATGCATTATCTCTTTGTTTTGATTGCTCATAGACCAGTGACTATACATCATTATTTAACAGTTCCTATAAGGTGCTCTTTTTCTGCTCCACATTATTAATTCAACTCCTTATAGCTTCTCTCCTAACCATGTCTTTGCTTTTACCTTTCATATGAGCTAGATCTGTCTACCCAAGTGCCTATCAATGCAGTTGCTTTTAGTTTACTTCCTAAATCCTCTTTGCTAGAGTGTTGATGAAAGTCATCTTTTCTTCCTCCATGAGTTACAGTAATTTGGAGGTATTTTTCTCTTCCTCTTTGTAATTTTTAACCTCTTAACTGTTACTGTTTTCTGTGCTTATTCTCCTTTCTCTTCCTTCTCACATTCTGTTGCTAGAGTCACTTCTAAAGGAATCTCTCTTGTCTATTCTCAATGTGCAAGGAGCAAAGCCAAGCTCTGGCCATGTTGCCTCCATCTGGGAAATGAGCAGCATGGTTAGTGAGCCTATTATGAACCCAATTCATTATTCCATCTGAAAGAGAACAAAGAAATGAGAAGCCCATATCAGAATATCCAAAAAATGGATCCCAAAATATAGGCTGAATTTGATACTGATCCCTGGCCTTCTCCTTCCAGCCTAAAGTGGTAAACCCATTGATCGGCCTCTTGGGTGAATATGGAGGAGACAGTGACTATGAGGAGGAAGAAGAGGAGGAACAGACCCCTCCCCCACAGCCTCGCATAGCACAGCCCCAGAAGCGAGAGGAGCTAACAAAGAAGGAGAATGAAGAAGACAAACTCACAGACTGGAATAAACTGGCTTGTTTGCTCTGCAGAAGGCAGTTTCCCAATAAAGAAGTTCTGATCAAACACCAGCAGCTGTCAGACCTGCACAAGGTATTACAGGAAGGACCTATATCCTTTCAAACTGTTGACTCTTATTCTTGATGGGCATTATAGGGAATAAAGAAGCTTATACAGGCCAAGCATGGTGGCTCGTACCTGTAATCCCAGCACTTTGGGAGGCCATGGGAGGTAGATCGCTTGAGGTCAGGAGTTTGAGACCAGCCTAGCCAACATGGTAAAATTCTGTCTCTACTAAAAATACAAAAATTACGTGGATGTGGTGGCACACACCTATAATCCCAACTACTTGGGAGTCTGAGGCAGGAGAAGCGCTTAAACCTGGGAGGTGGAGGTTGCAGTGAACCGAGATCACAACACTGCACTCCAGCCTAGGTGACAGAACAAGACTCCATCTCAAAAAAAAAAAAAAAAAAAAAATGAAGAAGCAGCAGCTTATACAATCCTTCCTCAGCACATATCAGCTCCAGTTCCTATCATTAAAACAGTCCAATTCAAGAATGAATTGCTCTGGATTAAGGTTATGCCCACCTTCAAAGAACTTCCATTTGTAGACCCAAGCCTAACATTGTGGCTTTGGCTAGGGTGGCAAATATGAAAGTTGGGTAGGAAGAGAAAGGGTTGTGGAATAGGACACTTACTTGCTGGATTTCTCATCTTAGCTCTGTCATTAACATTACAGTTGGACCTCAGATAAGCCCCTTTTCTTCTTTGGTCCTTCTAACTTCAACTGGTTCTATCCAGCTCTGACAGTGTGCAGTTTTCACCATAGGTGAATCAAATTCTGCCATGTCTTCATGTAGTGAATATTGTTATGAGCCAGAGCACAACAGCTATTCTTGGGATGTTAAACTGACAAACATTGGTCTTCCCCTGCAGGATTCCTATTTATATGTACAGACCAAGGATCCAAATTATGGATAAATAAAGTCTCTAAATGGACTCACATTCTCAGAGCAATTTGAGAATGAGAATTTCACACCCCTTCTCTGGTAGACATTGCAAGAGCAGGTGATGGGACTAGATTTAGACTTTCTCTGAACACAGAATTCAAAGTTTCATTTAGCTAAAAGCTGAGAAGCTCTGCTTTTGGTAATAGGTACACTACTTTTCCCAGCCATCTCATGTGGAGGCTCTGCAAAGATAGGACTCTGAAAAGCTCCTCCTGATAATCCCTGGAACAAACTACCTCCCATGTCCCTTTGACTTGAAATTCTGAATTACCAGACTGACACATTGGAATTTCACCCGTCTGGTATAAATGCTAATAAATGGCCAAAGCAATAAAAAGTAATTGTTGGCCGGGTATGGTGGCTCACGCCTGTAATCCCAACACTTTGAGAGACCAAGGCGGGTGGATCACCTGAGGTCAGGAGTTTGAGACCAGCCTGACCAACATGGTGAAACCCCATGACTACTAAAAATACAAAAATTAGCTGGGTGTGGTGGCGCATGCCTGTAATCCCAGCTACTCAGGAGGTTAAGGCAGGAGAATCACTTGAACCTGGGAGGCAGAGGCTGCGGTGAGCCAAGATCACACCACTGAACTCCAGCCTGGGCGACAGAGTGAGACTCTGTCTCAAAAAAAAAAAAAAATAGTAATTGTCAAAAAAGAGGAGCCACAGGTCTGGTGAATTCCCAAACTGAACTGATCACAGGACAGTGGAAAGTAGACTGTAGTACTTTTACTTTCCTTAGGTCGTCCACTACAAAGAACTACCACTTCATGTAAGAGCTGCTTTGGACTCCTTAGGTTTTATACATATGCCTTGTGTAGTGGAGCCATGTATTAGGAGTTGCAACTCTCAGAGCAGTCTGTTGGAGCCCTGGGCGGGGGCTCCTTTTCATGTTTCTCTGGGGGCTTAAACAGTGACTCGTGTCTAGGAATAGCAGGCAAAGTGTGCGTATTTGGTTTTTCTTTTTTTATTTTTATTTTTCTTGAGACCCTCATCTTGGAAAGGCATTTGGTTTTCTTCACTGGTGTGCCCACATCCTCTCTCCCATGATTTTCACCTTAGATAAAGAGGTAAACTAATTATTTGTTTCCCACATCTTGGAGCTAAGTAAAATGATACCGATACTCCCTTTTATGCCATACCACATAACTAATCTGTATGACAAGACCAGTTAGGGATTATTGCTTGCAGGGTATAGTAATTTAGTAGAGCTGGTCAATCAAAAGAGCTACAATCCAAAAGCAACTATTGAGAAAGGCCTAGAAGCATTTCTAGGACCACTGTTTCTTACACCTATACTCATAGAATTGCCTCTCTTCTCAGCAAAACCTGGAAATTCACCGGAAGATAAAACAATCTGAGCAGGAGCTAGCCTATCTGGAAAGGAGAGAACGAGAGGTAAACTTTGGTGACCTGTTGTTACTCCCTTGACCTCAGCTCTTTTTGCTTTCTGATACAGACTTCACAGGCTGTGCTAATCCCTCCTTATAAGAAGACGGAGAACAAAAGAGGCCCCAAAAGATAGTATATACATTTGCCAAATTCTATAATACATCAAAATAGGTGCTTTTTATTATTTATAAGTTATACCTCAATAAAAGTAATACCTTTTTTTTGTTTGTTTTTGCCCCCCCATCCCCAAAGGTGGTATCTTTTTAAAAGGTGGTGTTAGGGTCTCCAGGTAGGTAGCACTCCTCTTTGCTGCTCAGCTTTTAAGTCAATTGAGTTAATGAAAGAGTGTTGAATAGGGCTGCTGAAATAGCATCTTTTACTATTAAAGGCTAAGCTGGAGGAATTAGCTTAGTGTGAGAGTCAAATGAACTTGCTACCTCAACCACACAATTAGGGTGACTTACCTATCCAGTCACAGGCTTCACTGGCCTCTCTTATGATGGTTAAGAACCCACCTATGGGTCAGGCGCAGTGGCTCATGCCTGTAATCCCAGTACTTTGGGAGGCTGAGATGGGCGGATCCCTTGAGCTCACAAGTTTGAAACCAGCCTGGGTAACATGGCGAAATCCCATCTCTACAAAAAAATACAAAACTTAGCCGGGCTTACTGGTGTGTGCCTGTAGTCTCAGCTACTCAGGAGCCCGAGGGAGGATGGCATGAGCTGGGAGGCAGAGGTTGCAGTGAGCCGAGATTGTGCCACTGCACTGCAACCTGGGTCATAGAGCCAGACCTTGTCTCAAGAAAAAAAAAAAGGAATCTACCTGTGGAGAGCCAGGTACAGTGGCACATGTATGTAATCCCAGCAGTTTGGGAGGCTGAGGTGAAAGGATCACTTGAGCTCAAGAGTTCCAGCCTGCAGTGAGCTATGATCACACCCCTGTACTCCCGCCAGGGTTACAGAACAAGTCCCTGTCTCAAAAACAAATAAAAGAATCCACTTATGGAGAACTATTGGAGATAATGAATTCACAAACTGAACTGGCCATAGGACAGTGGAAAGTAGATTGTAGTACTTTTCCTTTCCTTAGCATTGTCTACTACAAAGAACCACCTCTCCATGTAAGAGGTTCTTTGAGGCTGGGCTCAGTGGCTCACGCCTGTAATCCCAGCACTTTGGGAGGCCAAGGCAGGTGGATCATGAGGTCAAGAGATCGAGATCATCCTGGCCAACTTGGTGAAACCCCATCTCTACTAATAATACAAAAATTAGCTGGGTGTGGTGGTACATGCCTATAATCCCAGCTACTTGGGAGGCTGAGGCAGGAGAATTGCTTCAGCCAGGGAGCCAGAGGTTGCAGTGAGCTGAGATTGTACCACTGCACTCCAATCTGGCGACAGAGCGAGACTCCATCTCAGAAAAAGTGCTTTGGACTCCTTAAATTTTATATGTATCCCCAAGGGCTTATGTAGTGGAGGGCTTGTGTATTTTACCCTGCTTCTCAGAAGGGGAAAAGTCAGTTGAAGCAAGCATGCCAATTTACTCTTTCCAAATTTTTAAGTCGGGGAAGACACTACTTTACCTAGAAGAATATGTAAAGGAGTGAGAGATTCCAGGAGTTACTAAGTGAGCTACCTTCACTTTAAAAGAAATAACAGTAATGGGGTAAAACTTCCCCGTTCCCCAGTTCCCTCAGGTGGAAATCTCAGGTCTGCTCTTTTGCTTACCAACAGGGAAAGTTTAAAGAAAGAGGAAATGATCGCAGGGAAAAGCTCCCATCTTTTGACTCTCCAGAAAGAAAACGGATTAAATACTCCAGGGAAACTGACAGGTAAGACAGGAACTCTTCATTCACCCTAGGCCTCAAGGCCTAATGATAAAACCACCTCCTTCTTCAACTGTCCTGCTGTTTTTTGTTTTCATCTCAGGAGATGATGTTATCAGGAGTAGATTTTGTCTTAACTGCTAGAACATGAGGTCTGTGCCAGCCTTTTGACTGTATTTATACAGGAAATGTGCATGGAAGGTTGGCTGGCAGCTTCACCTACCCAAAGTGAGGGTGGAGTAGCCATGGTAGGGAGTGCTTTCTGTCTTCATTAGTAATACTGCACCCTCTTTATGGGCCTGATAAGAATGTCACATTCGCCGGGCGTGGTGGCTCAAGTCTGTAATCCCAGCACTTTGGGAGGCCGAGGCGGGTGGATCACGAGGTCAAGAGATCGAGACCATCCTGGTCAACATGGTGAAACCTCGTCTCTACTAAAAATAGAAAACATTAGCTGGGCATGGTGGCGCGTGCCTGTAATCCCAGCTACTCAGGAGGTTGAGGCAGGAGAATTGCCTCAACCCAGGTGGCGGAGGTTGTGGTGAGCCGAGATCG